TGAACTTACCTGTAGAAAAGGGATTTCGTAATGGAAAAAGCTTTCAATAGCTACCAATATCCCTTCCTTTTCGCAAATATTTTTTTCGAAATACGCTTTTTTGATATGAAATACGTTTTTTGGAACTGGCATTCAAAAAAAGAAGTTTTATATTGTTTAAGTTGGATGTGAAAAGACCAATTTATTGTTCGAAAAAAAGAAGTTTTCTTTACTATTTAATTAACCATATATATCTTTACTATTTATTAATCCATATAAATTTAGCCTGTAAATTAATGCTTCTTTTCCTAATTTCATAAAACAAGCCGGCTATTCACTCTATTATTTTTATTCTTTTTTTTTTTTTTTTTTTTAGGAAATTAGAAAAAAAAATAAGTATTTTTTCACTAGTATTTTTATTTGAATTTGACCAATTCTAAATATTAGTGTAATAGTTACAATGCCTACTTATCTTTTAACATTTTCATTACCCATTTGTAAAATTTAACAACTAAATTCAAAAATCTAAAAAGGCAAAATATATATCATTAATAAAATTAAATCTTTAGCATATGTCTTCTCACCTTGAATTTCAGTTCCATACAAAGACAAGTATAACAATTAAGCAAATAAACTATAAAAAAATTAATAACAAGATATAGTATTTACCTTGAAATTAACTAATATTTTCTTTTATAAATACCCATTCTTTTCTTCATTTTAGATAGCTCCATTGGAAGACAATCAAATATAATTATTTTCACAAAATACTTTCATTAGAAGAATAGAACCGATGAATCAGAAACAATTAATTAAATTAATTCAAAATTAAAAAGTTTTTTTATGGAACATTATATCAATATTCATGGTATCCTTTTCCGTTACGTTACGTGCCTACTATTAATAGGAGCGGGACTCTACTTTTTTCGGCAGCACAAAAAAACTTCGTCGTATTGGGTTTTTCCAAGCGTTTTTATTGTTAATTATAGTCATGATTTTCTTTCAATCATTCTGTCTATTCAGCAAAATAAATAGGCCAGTTTTCTTATATAATATATATGGGTCGGGACTATCAATAATGATTTTTTCTTTAGAGTTTGGAACTTGATTGACCACTTACTTCTATTTTTTGTCAGTATTATTATACAGTTGGAATTTTTGGTTGCTTTTTATAGTTGATTACTTTAAATATTTCTTCATGATCAAGGCTATTTGAGACTTTTTTGGCTTAATATGAGTTTTTTTCAATACTTCATGTTTGGGAATTAGTTACTAGTTTAATTTGATACAAATTTTATATTTTTGGGAATTGGTTGGAATGTGTTTTATCTCTATTAATAGGTTTTTGGTTCACACGACCCGCTGCGGCAAACGCTTGTCAAAAAGCGTTTGTAACTAATCGGATAGGCGATTTTGGTTTATTATTAGGAATCTTAGGTTTTTATTGGATAACGGGAAGTTTCGAATTTCAAGATTTGTTCGAAATATTTAATAACTTGATTTATAATAATGAATAATTTTGGTACTTGGATTACAATTCTCGTGGGAACGATATCTTACTCATCATACATTACTTGTAGCGATTCGTACACTTGCGAAATAAGCTGTCAGACACATTAGTCGGGATAGAAAGATTTTCAGCTATGATGCATGCTGCTACTATGGTAGCTAATGCAAATTTTAATTTCGAGTATTTTTATAATTTTAATCAATTTTTTTAACTTTATTTATTGATATATATATATTATTTTTTATAATAATTATAATGTCCATATAGGACACCCAAATTCATGGACCCATACGTGACATTGACATGCTTAATTATCTATATTTTTCTTTTAACGAGAAATTATTTATATATATTTATTTAAATAATAATTTTTATAAAATATATCTAATCAACCAAAAAAAATTTAGGTTTTTAATTGGCTATGACTAAAGTTATTTTAACATATTTTAAATTTCATTAAAGACAATAGAAAATCTCATCATTTCCACCTATTCTCATACTTATATATAGTATAGATTTTTAAATAAAATGAACATGTGTCTGTGGGATGACGTACAATTAAAAATTTTAATTTTAAAAATGTTTATCATATTTTATTATAATATCTATATATTTATATATATTGAAACATATTTATTAAATGATATAGACAAAGCCTCAACTCAAACAAAGAAAAAGGGAGATGGACTTATGTTAAGAGATGAGGATGATGAAAATGAGAAGACACCTCCTTTGTCAAGTAGGGGCTCAAGCACTCTTATTCTTGCTACCTCTTCTGATCCAGTTACATTAGATCAAAGCCTCAACTCAAACAAAGAAAAAGGGAGATGGACTTATGTTAAGAGATGAGGATGATGAAAATGAGAAGACACCTCCTTTGTCAAGTAGGGGCTCAAGCACTCTTATTCTTGCTACCTCTTCTGATCCAGTTACATTAGATCAAAGCCTCAACTCAAACAAAGAAAAAGGGAGATGGACTTATGTTAAGAGATGAGGATGATGAAAATGAGAAGACACCTCCTTTGTCAAGTAGGGGCTCAAGCACTCTTATTCTTGCTACCTCTTCTGATCCAGTTACATTAGATCAAAGCCTCAACTCAAACAAAGAAAAAGGGAGATGGACTTATGTTAAGAGATGAGGATGATGAAAATGAGAAGACACCTCCTTTGTCAAGTAGGGGCTCAAGCACTCTTATTCTTGCTACCTCTTCTGATCCAGTTACATTAGATCAAAGCCTCAACTCAAACAAAGAAAAAGGGAGATGGACTTATGTTAAGAGATGAGGATGATGAAAATGAGAAGACACCTCCTTTGTCAAGTAGGGGCTCAAGCACTCTTATTCTTGCTACCTCTTCTGATCCAGTTACATTAGATCAAAGCCTCAACTCAAACAAAGAAAAAGGGAGATGGACTTATGTTAAGAGATGAGGATGATGAAAATGAGAAGACACCTCCTTTGTCAAGTAGGGGCTCAAGCACTCTTATTCTTGCTACCTCTTCTGATCCAGTTACATTAGATCAAGTCAAACTTCTCGGGTCAGAGATAAGCCTGAAAAAAGCCGCTGACCCATCTACTTTGCCTGCAATTCCTTCAGAAGAGATTGAAGTTGTTAATCTCACTGTTGAGGATGACCTTCCTCTTGCCAGGAGAAAGAAAAGAAACTGGACAGAAACTCCAGAGGAAATTGCTCAGCTAAAACACACTTGCCCAGATGTTGAAGGATACATCAAGGCTGTTCATGAAGCTTCAGCTTTTTATTCTCAAAGTCCAGTGGGCAAGGACTTGGATTCCATGGAAGAGAGTGCAATATTCATAATATGAACTGCAATCTATTCTCTATAAGTATTTTGTTGTTTCTGTTCCCCTTCCAATTTTACCCTATTACTCACTTTTTCTATATTGTAATAGCTTGTTATGAGGAAGAGAGTTCAAGATCTGCCCAGCCACTGTGGTAAACTCAAAGTATCTAAGAATGAAGTTGTTCAACTGGCAGAAACTACTAAGGAGATGATGGATAGTGCTGCCACAACTCACAGAAAGGAGATGTGCACACCTAAAATGAATTTCATGATCTTCCGCCATGTTGCTGTAGCAAATTCATTGTAGCACAGTCAAATTTACTGTAGCAAAGTCAACCAACAGGCTTTTTGAGCCTCAAAATTTGAGTATTCACAGCCGCCAAGATAGCACACCTCATTCGTCCAAGCTATGCATGCCATGCAAATCAGGTAAGTATTTTCTTACTTACGTGTCTTACTTTACACTTTGATGACATTTTGCTTCAAAAGCAAATATTATCAAAGTGGGGGCAGACTATAGATGCATAAATTTTGCCCCTAAAAGGTTCAGTGATGATACGCCATTTTTTTATCAAATTCGATCAGGATTTCCAATCGCCCCAGTTTTCGAATCAATGGTATGTGGCTGAGTTTATCTACGTGTTTAACCTTTTTTACTTTTTTGGGTTACCGTGCGTTTCACAATGAAATCGAGCTTGAGAAGCTTGACACACTTCCTAGTGCATTGTCTAATTTTGCGTCCACCTGGTCTGTTATAGTAAAAGTGGACCTGGTTCCATTGCGAGACCTGACAGTGGCATTTTTACGATGTCAGCCCTAAAAGGAGCCACCCTACCCTCAAATGCCTATAAATAGGCATTGAGGGGTGAGCCAGGATGGGACTTTTAATGATTTGAAGGGAAACTTTTGTCATTTTAAAACTCAATCCAAAGATATCCCTTATAATTCCAACGATTATACAATTCATCAGAGGAGAGTTTTTCTGTTGTAAACAGGGACATCCTTCTTTGTATCATTTCCAAAAAAGTTGACAAACTGGGTGGATACGTAAAAGATATTCTTTCTTTCTGCTTTCCAGGTTCAGTAACCTAAGGATAACTTTGATTTTATTAATGAGATTCCCATCAATGTCCCTTCTGAAGATCCTAATGATGCTCCTTTGAACATCTTGATGAACAACTTGAACAAGCAAATCATGAGCAAGTCGATCGAATAAATGATGAGCAAGTTGATCATTCTGTTCCTTGAGAATTTCATTCGTTCTTTTTTGTAGACTGAGTAATTTGTGAAATTTTGTATGTACATACTTTTTAATGAAAAATTATGTTTGGCCTTTTTAAATTTCGAGTTCTCCAACTCTTTTTTATCTCAAGCTTACTTAGGCTCGCGATGTATTACTATGTGACGTTTTTATAGCAACTTACTATTTTGCTCTAGTTTTCTTAAGTGGAGAACAAGCGAATCGTATTATAAATTTCTTTTTATTTCTTTGGGAAAAGTCAAGAAAAACCTATTTGTTAGGATCATTTTATTCCCTTAGCTCCTCTAAGCTACCCCTTATACACCCATAGTCCTATGATCCTAAAACTTAGGTGAAAAAACTTGCTTTTCCTCTAATTCATCTTGATTGTACATAATATTTTTGCAGATTTTCTGTGTTCCATGTTTGTGGCAGTTCTTTGCCGTTTGCTTTTTGAATTCTATAGGTGCTTAGCCTATCATTTGTATTACTTCATATGGTCCTTCCCAATTTGGACCTAAATTGCTTACTCCTGCAAATCCTCTTGTAATTTCTGCTTTTTTAATGACAAAATCTCCCATTTGAAAACTTCTTGCCTTTACTTTGTTGTTGCATCGAAACATATAGATGTTGACTAATCTGGCTAACATTGAACTTGGTAAAATGAAATGGTTGAATAATTGAATAATGAGATTATTCAGGAATACACATTGAATGCTAAGATTACGCATTGAATTTCTGGTAGGACGTCTATGATCAAAAAAGTCTTTGTGATTGTTCCAGAAGAAATGAAACAAAAGATACGGTAGAGCTAAGACAGTTATTGTATGAGGTTTACCCAATGCTAAATGCAGAGGTACATAGTAGATTGATATGAACATCATGAGCTGGCCTGCAATAAACCCAGTTGTTGCTGATACTCTCTTCTCGGTTCCTTCTTCTCCTTCTTCCATAAACCGAGCTCGTAGAAGGAAGATATAAGAGGGACCTATGGATAGTGTGGTCAGAAATCCATAATAGAGTCCGACCATAACGACCGAATTGATTATCGTCATGTATAAGGATATTAGATTCCCTGGTATAAAAGATTTTAAAATCATCATTAACCTCCCTTTTTTCTTTTCTATTTCTGGATTATTATATGATGATTTTTGAACTTTCCATATACATATATAGAAATAGAAAAAGATAGACTAGAACCGACATCTCTTATGTCATGTCAATGACAATATAAAAATGGAATTGGGATCTGGATGGAATATAATGAAATAGAGCCACTTTGAGGTTCCCTATGAAATGAGGCATGGAACGGAGCCACTACGAAGAAGTTCCGGGGGTTACGAAGATTGGCCAATAATATCTGTGCAATGCAATTTTCCTAATGAGTGCATCAGCTGCTTTATGTGCTTTGCACAATCCTTCATGTGCTTCATTAACAACACACTCAGACTCCTCGTCACTTAAGCATTTTGCCCATGGATGAGTTTTTGATCTTCTGTATAGCGTTGAATGTACATAAGCATAGTTAACTGCTTTCCTTGAAATTTTCAAGGCTTCTTTCTTATCTTAAGGAAGAATTCCTTGTTCGAGACAATCCACAATGGCCTTCATCCAACCTTGTAATGACTTTACAACAAGAGTAATTTCTTGATCAACACTTGTTTGGTGCTGAACCTCCAAGGGTATTGCATTGTTCGTCCACTCAATTTTTGAGGCCGCTGCTTTTGCTAAGTTATCTGCCTCCATATTTTGTGCTTGGGCAATCTGTTGTATCTCCTAGCTCTCCAACTGTACAGTTGAACAGTTAGAGCTTTATACCTCACAAGGGCAGGTTTTTTCACTTCAAATAATCGTCACGCTCGACTCCAACCACCAGAGGAATTGTTCGCTTTGGATCAAGCCTATTCCATCCCATAGTGGATTGGTAAGTCCTGCTCGGTTCGGTCTCGCAGGTGAAATGGAGAACTACTGATGCGGAACCCTATGGAAATTAATTCCAAGAACTCTATGACAAGATTAGAATAGTTTAAAGATCAAACTAAACTCCCCTCTATAGCACCCAAAGCTTAAAGAAGAAAGAACACCAATAATAGAGTAAAAGAATAAGATAAACGGCACAAGTAAATTGATAAGTTTACCTTGATTCTTGATGCAATTAAGGAAAGTCCTTCCCTTTTTGGCCGGTTGTGGGCGAGGAGGGATTGAACCCCGACACGTTGGTTCGTAGCCACGGTGCTTCTACATCTCTCTGAGCTACAGGCCCATCCCCCGTCTCCACTGGATCTGTTTCCCGGAGTACCCTAAAAAAGGAACCTTTTCTCTTTCCCAGCCATTTCGGGTTTAAGAAGATGCGAAAGCGCCTCTGCTCTCTATAGAACGGTGCGTTCGAGGTGTGGGAAGTGGGAGAAAAGGGATTTCATATGGGGTTTTGAATAAGACGACCATTTTCATTTTTTTTTTTCATTTGAAAAGTTAATAAGAATGAGGGGTGTTAAGCTTTTTTATCATCTGGGTCGAGCTATTTTTCCGCAGGACCTCCCCTACAGTATCTTCACGCAAGTAAGAGTTTAACCACCAGTTTCGGGATGGATTTTGGTGTGGTTCTCTACGCCTAGGACACCAGAATATCGAACCAAATGAACGAAGACAGGCATGAGAGAAAAGCATATTGGCTTAAGTGATTTGTGAGGCCCCAATTCTTGACTGGAGGGGGCAAACCAACGGCCTCCGCCTTCATTCCTTTGGATTCGATAGAGAGGGAGGGCAGAGCTTTTGGTTTTCATGTTGTTGTTGTCAAAGAGCTGAACAATAAAAATAGATGGAGAGTGCTAATCGAATTTGATCGGGTCATGTAGGAACAAGGGTTCAAGTCTACCGGTCTGGTTAGGATGCTCAGCTGCATACATCACTGCAGCTTCCACTTGACAACCTATCGTTAATGATAAACGGCTCGTTCGCCGTGACCCTTCTCTTTTGAATTCTCAAAACTTCTTGTCACTCCATCCCCGCAGGGGCAGAAGAAACCGTCGCTGTCTCGCGTGCTACCGACGGTTCTGGGGAGTGCGGAAATAGGAGAGCGCTCATCTTGGGTGGGGGCTTCCTACTTAGATCTTTCAGCAGTTTTATCCGCTCCGCA